GCCCCTCGCAACCGGCGCCGCTCGGAGCGGGGCGAAGGCAGAGCCGGCAGCCGCTGCCCGCCGCCCCCTGCCCGCACCCTGCGGGCTGCAGCCCCCGGCTTTGTCTGCGCCGCTTCTTCTCGGGGTGGCTTCTCCCCCCGTGGGGCGGCTTCTCCCCCCGTGGGGCGTATTCCGTGTCGGGCGCAGAAAGTTAGCATCCCTGGGAAATTGCGCCTGGGCTCTTCTAAAAATGTGTCAGTGAGGTGCCACGGGAATCTTATAGCTCCCATATATGCTAGAGTCTGCGTCCAGCAGCCCCGTTAGGAATCCCGGTTATTCGGGTCGGGGGGGCATGTGGCAGGGGATTATTTCTTTGAGAACTTCTGCTCTGACATTTCCTAACTTATTAGCAATTGGCGGGCCTTTTATTAGAAATAATCTATCACTTGGCTATGGTTTTTAATCGTTAAATTAATAACATTTCATTAAACATTAGGGAAATGTTTGAACATTTTACCTGTTTTTTATCACGGTGCTTGCGATGAGAAGTGGGATTCTGGGCCTCGTAGCAGAAGGCAGGATTCAAACCCACTGAGCAGGTTTCCCCGTGCAGTGGCTCCATGCAGGGACGCCAGCCAGCTCCAGCCTGCAAGCCTTGGACGGCGTTCAGGCAGGGCTGTGCTGGCGCTGGCACCCGGCTTCTCCGGACGGTCCCGGCGTAACGGGCCCAAAGAGCTTTCGGGTAGGAGCTGGCACATGATGTGAGAAGCTGGCAAGCACTAAGATGGGGCTCGCTGTCTGCATCCCGGGGGGGGAGAAGGAAGGAAGGGCATCAGTGTTGAGAATGGGTGACAATGACACTTGCTGGTGAACTGCACTTTCAGAGAGTTCGGGGAGAAAACACAGACGAAAGAGGTGTTGGGGGGAGTACCCGATGCACACTGGGCTCACGGTATACGGAGGGTAAAACCAAATGGGTGCTTTCTCCTGTCTTTTCTGAATCTCTCTGGACTTTTTAATGAAAAACAGCCAAGTAACAATACCAAGGGCTAAAGAAACAAGATGTTTTCTAGTGCTGCTACTTGTTTCTCCATGCTACCATGTGAAACACAAGGCAGCGTATACAAAACAGGTCCAGGACCACATCCAAAACAGGCCCAGGACCTTGTTTTGGTGGGACGGGAATTTCCCCATATGGACTCATGCCGTGCTGTGATATTCAACCTCAGAGCCAGAGAACAGGACCTGGCCTATTGTAGTTACTATAACAGATGTAGTCTTAGAGACTATAACATAATTTTGGAAATATACTGCCATCTTTTTTGGGGAGAGATGATTACTTTATCTTTTATATACATGAATATTGACAATTTTGGAATGGGTAGGTTTTTTATTTACAACTCACAGGACAAATGGGGTTTGCAGGCTTTCATAAAGCCTCCTGATTTAAAATTCCTGGTTTGCAAGGTGCCAAACATCCTTGACTGTCATTCAATTGATCAAAACACTTAGCAACTGCTAGGACTGAGAGCTTTTTGTTGCGTGGGCCCTTCCCAGAGAAGCCTATGAAGCCCAGAATTAACAGAATCAATGACAAATTATGGAATATGTGCTCCTGAAAAGATATTATTTTTTGCTTCAGGAACAAATAGACAAAAATTACATTTAAAGGGAAATGGAAATAAAAGGTATTAAATCTGAAGAAGTAAAACTAGATTATGTTCTAATGAAAAATTATGAATATTTTCATTATCTTACTTACTGGACTTTTACAATTAGCAGATTGTGGAGTTGAATGGGTCAGTTGAGTACTAATTGGAAATAGAAAATGTAGACAAATACGTATATATATATATAGCATATATGGAAATGCAAAGGTCTGCACCTGGGATGGAAGAACACTGTACAACAGTCCAGGCTGGGGACTGACTGGGGAGACAGCATTTTGCAGAAGAGGACCTGGGTGGCCTCTCAGGCAAGAAGCTGCAGTCTGCAACATGCCATTGCATGTCCTGGAACACCCCGGCCTACATGAGCAAGGGTCAAGGGATGTAACTACTTCCCTCTATCCAACAAACCTTGGAATTTTATGTCCCATTTGGGTTTCCTCAGTACAAGACACTGACATAGTGGGGGAAGTCCAGTGGAAGGTCATCAAGATGATGAGCGTACTGGTATATGATGTATAAAGAGAGGGAGAACTGAGCTTATAAATCTTAAAAAGAGGTTAAGGGGGAAAATCTTACTGCTGTCTCCAGCTACCTGAGGGGAGGGTGTAGAGAGGGTGGAGGCAAACTCTTCTTAGAGGTGCAGAGCACTAGGACAAGATGCAATGAATGCACGTCACAACATCAGGTATTCCAGTTAGAAATTAGGAAATAAATATTCACCTGGAGAGTGGTCAAACACTGAAATGGGTCCAGAGAGGCTGTGAAATCTCCATCCTTGGTGATGTTCAATATTCAACTGGACAGCACTGTGAGGGACCTGATCTAACTTTGAAGTTGGCCCTTCTTTAATAGGGTTGGACTGGGTGATCTCCGGAGGTCCCTTCCAACCTAGATCATTCCACGATTCTGATTCTGCAATCTTTAAGCACGTCGGCTGAATGCACCAGATTCTGGAGGTGACTGAATGTTGTTATTTTTAAGGACAAAATGCTGTTTACTTTACACAGATTAGTAAGCCCATTGATTTCCTCAGAACTGTTGATACTTATAGAGTGAGTGGAAGGCTAGATCTGTAGCGAGTGGATAATGTTTGTGGAATGATCACATCTATGAAAGTCTCTGAGAAAAGGATCTACACGACAAAGTCAGGGTTATCTCACATCCTCATTGATGGAGCCAGAGGAATTAAAAGTGTCAGGACTTCCATAGATTTAGCAGGGTTCCCTCCAGTAGAGACATTAAATGCTGCTTGCTGCTAAATACCATTTACTGGAGGTACCTTCCAATTCAAAATATGTAGCTGATGGTTGGAGGTTAGGAGGGAATTCCCAACATAATCAGTGCCACTGCCTACGTGCACATCCGAGTAGTATCTGCTCTTGGGGACAAGGTGAATGGACTTATATTGTCAATCTGCATGCAGATCTTCTGAACCTCTGCACTTAGAACTGGCAGAAAAGGGAGAGGAGATGGCTCAGGAGGTGTTTTTGCTGAGCATACTTAATGAATACATGAGAATGTCAGTCTACAGGGTAGCTGCTAGGCTAAACAAGGATTAAAGGAACAGGTTTACTCGCTGTATATATACACCAACACTGAGAGCTCTGCTCAGTTGCCAGCCAGACTGCTCAGTACGTGTGCATCCTGTCAAGGCAATTTCTGAAACTCAGGTAATCATTACTTAAACTCCATTTAACATTCATCAGCTCCAGCTCACACTTTTTACATCCAGACATGCTTTTTGAAGACACTTGCATACCACCCACTCCTCTCCTATAACAACAAAATGTTCAAATACGAACAGTTAAAATGCACAGACTGTGAGGTTGCTCTCACACCCTCAGAGCCCATCTACACTTCTGAGTCTCACTCGAGTCTTCCAAAACCAAGGTGTTCAGAGATGGCCGATATCAGCACTGTGATGGACTCTCATGATGCCCTGCCTCTGGCTCAAGTGTCCCATGGTGTCAGGACTGTAGTTTTGGGAGCGGAGAGGGGGAATGCTGAACCAGAGCGCTTCATGGACACACGCCAGCTTTTTTGAAACTCATCTCTTTGTGTAATTCATCCCATAAAAGCTGTCTCAGGTGCAGGGTAGTAGCTCTAGTTGGGAGGAAGACTGAGTGATTCCCTCCCTCTCCAGTGGTCCGTCAGAGCATGTACTTGGGGCATAAGCAACCAAGGTTCAAAGCATCCCAGCTCAGGCTACGGGCTTGAATCACGATGCCTCATATCCCATGTAAGCATTTTAATTGCCAAGTGGCTGGCTACTCTGGGTAGCTATCTCCCAGGTTTCTTATGCTGAAGCTATGATCACGTATGTACTGGAGCATGGTCTTACCCGAGGTTTTCTAACATCCCAGTCAAGTGCCACAGCAACGGAAAGATGGAGTCAGCCTTTCTCTCCCAGTAACATCTAATTACTTACTGCAAAGTGGAGCAATTCCTATTGACTGAGAAGCAGAAATTAATCCTGCTGTGTGTTAGTAGGACACTCAGCAGGACTGTGGGAGTATGTCGGAGCAGGAACAAGGAGGACCCGAGTGCCCCACGTCCCCAGAGTGCCCCAGTGACTGACCTGTTTGACAAACTGGGTTCTGTTGCTCCAGATGCTTATGAGGAACTTCGAAAAGTCTCTCTGTCCTGGGGCAGAAATGAAAACAACGAGTGGAAATCCTGTTGTCTTTTTATTTGTATGGCTGGAAAACTATTCCTCATCCAGCCTCTAATGGCAGGTCTCATTTGGTTTAGGGCATGCAAGCTTTCCTTTAGCAATTGTCACAAATTGTATAACTTCAGTGACATAACTAAAAGATTGTTTAATTCTGCAATAGGAACAAAGCAGAACAAGAACAAAAGCTGTTCAACAGAGCAGCCTCTTTGTGTATCCATCTTGCCTAGAGCATATTCGTATATGTAAACTCCGTGGTACGTGTCTCAGTCCTTGTGTCTCTTGGATTTGGCCACAACCTATTACACAGCCAGCCTAAAGGGAGGCTGGACTCCGGTACCTTGCATTGCTGTGTACGTCTCAGTAAATGGACTGCCAGGAGTGTTTATCTGTCTTCTGCCCAACGTGAATTAACTCCTGCTGCAATTAAACCCTTTGTTCTTGCATAGCAAAAAACATGTTCATGGCCAAAGGACCAGATGGAACGTAACTTTGTAAAGTCTTACAGGCAACTCCCGCATCATTCACTGCCACAGTTAAAGTTGCACTCTGTGTAAATAAATGAAATGTAAATAATTTTATCACTTCTTTCATGCCTTAAGGGACAACATTAATCAGCTGTGTAATTTCAGGGGAGTCAGCAGAGTTATGCTAGGTGTCATGTTGGCTTTTAGTCAAAGGTGCTTTGCAGTGAGTAGTTATGACAGTAATGCAATAACTTGGAGCCTGCCTCAGGGGGTACTGCCCTCACAAGGCATCCACAGTTTTCATTTATTACTCCGGTGACAGCAAATACTTAACACATGTATGCGCTAGCACCTGTGATCTTCTTTACCTGTGGTCAGTCCCTGAGAAGTAAACCTTTCTCTGGACTCTGATGGACTTGGTCTTTGCAGGTTGCTTACAAATCACAATAGAAAATTATCCATATTTCTGATTTAAAAAAAAA